CCATAGTGAATGGCTTGGTGACATTCTGGTAGGAGTGAGTGAATTCTCATTCTTAGTTCCTGTGAGAACTGGTTGTTGAAATGTGCCTGGAACCTCCTCCACTTCTTTTCTCTCATACCCTCTCTTTTGCCGTGTAACCCCTACATACTCTGGCTCCCCTTCACTTTCTATCATGAGTGGAAGTCTTCTGAAGTCTCACCAGAGTGGTTGTTGGCACCAGCTTCTTACAATCTACAGAACCGTAAGCCAAATAAGTTTACTTTCTTTATAAATTACCCAGCTTCAACAATGCAAACATGCTAAAACAAAATATACAGAGGATAAAATGGAATTCCTAATATAATGGAATTCCTATCATCCTGATCATAAGATGGCCTCCCTAGAACTCCCCTAAACCAAAAATAAAATTCTAAGCCCTCCAACCCACTGAATGGACCACTTCTGGGCCAAGGGAAATCCAAAAGAACTAAATTCCAATCTATGACTGAAAAGGAAGTGGGACATGCCTTGTTATACCTGTTCCCTTGTGGAGTTTAGACACAACTGACAAGCATTACATTAAAAAAGAGACCATAAGACTGACCAGACAGATTCTGTGGCAGTAAGATACTAAATTCCAACCTGATTCTGGTATGGCATCATACGACAGATATCAGGCCCTAAGAGAAATAAAAATATTTTATACCAAAATGTAAAATATCTTTGACATGTTTTGAAATAAACCTGCAAAGCCATCTCTTGGGGAAAATTTGTAGAGAATCTCCTCCCTTAGGAAGAGTCTGACATCTTTTAAGTTCTAAAAAGAGATTTTTATCACGTATTCTCTCTGAAGCTTACTACTTAGAGGTTTTATCTACATAACAAAAACCTTGACTACCACGACCCCTAATTTTATCCCAAGCATTTCTTTCTACTGATTTCAAATTCTTTAGATAGAGCTTAACTCTTTCAACCAATTGCCAATCAGAAAAAAAATTTTTTTGTAGTGTTATACTGTTACTTATTTATTTAATTTTTATTATAAAGATGTGGGGTACAATTCAGGGTTAGGTATATAAACATTGATCATGCAGGTATCCTTATTGATGAAGTATGCCCCTAGAAAATCTTCTAATCCACCTATGACTTCTAAGACCCCATCTACCCCATGCTTCAAGATGTCCTGCCAAATCTTTCTGGGCAAACCAATAAAAACTTCACATGTATTGATTTATGTCCTTGCCTCTAAACCTCTGTCTCTGCAAAATGTATAAAACCAAGCTGTAACCCAACAACCTGGGCACATGTTCTTAGGATCTCTTGGGAGGGTACCTCAGGCCTTGATCACTCATATTTGGCTCAGAATATGCCTCTTTAAATATTTTACAGAATTTGACTTTTCATCAACACCCCAAACACTGCTCATTTAGATCTGTTCAGGCACACTCACTTAACTGACTGTCCTTTCTGCTGGCCACATCCAAGTGTCTAGACCAAACGTAAAGCTCTTAGAGTACTTGGACTATTTATTTCCCTCTTCCTATTACACTTTAAGTGTTTCAATATAGTGTCTATGCCTCTCCCTGTGATGTACTCTATTGAGAGATGCTTCGTTAAGTCTGATGTGAAGGCATACTTGAAGGATTCCAGGATGGAAAAGATCCTGTGGAGCCCTCTGAAAACAAAACAAAATAAAAAAGAGAAAGGTGGGATGGGGGGGCTTCTATAGTTGAGAGTCAGAAGGAGACCCTACAGCCCTTCACTGGCTATGAGTTTGACAGGAGACTTGTTCCTGAATGTTCAGCACTCCTCCCATACCCCTAGCTCCCTTGCCTTAGAGATGACCCCAAAGATGGCTTCATTATCCCTGGATCTTTCTTCCCCTGTTTATTCAGTGTGCCTTGTTAAGTGCTTACTGCATACCTAGCAATGCTGTCTGTCTTCTGCCCATAACCCAGGAGCCCAGATTCTCTGTTACTAGTCTCTTTTGGGTCTCCTGCTTCTGTTTGCTTCAGAGATGTGAGGTCTTGCCCCGCTAGCTCAGCTCATTAGGGCTTCTTTCATGCTAAAGCAGGCCCACAGGACTAGGAAATAAAGCTTTGAGCTAGAACAGGTTTCTAACCCCTTCCCTGCCTCAGAGGGTGGGTCCTTTCCACTTTGACAAACTTGATTTCCTTATCCCATTCTACTTCCTGCTGCAACCCAGCCCAGCGCCCTGCCTAGTGTGATCATGTCATTCTCCCTTCTCACCTTCCTCTTGACCCCCGCTCTATTCCTTCCCAGGCTCAGTATCATTCTGTCACCTGCTCATAGTTGGAAGACTGTCAGGTCAACTGCCCCACCCTTCCTTAGCCCATATGAAGCTATAAAGGCCCCTGCAACTCTTCCGCAACAGAGAAAACGGCAACAACATCGCATGGAGGAAGCCTGAGGAAACTAGGCATTCAACTGCCCACACTGAAGCTCAAGATTCTTTCCAAGAATACACACTGAGGAGACCCAAGCTCCTGGAAACTCTAGCCTCTATCTCTTCGCCTTCAACTCTCCTTTCTCAAGAATTCATCTGTCCTTTGCCTGCTAAGGTCTTGGCACATCTGGGATCCAGGCGTCTTCTCTTCCAGCCACAAAGAAGCAGATGAAGATGCAGAAAGGAAACATTCTCCTTAGGTTTTGGTTTCCATTGCATCTCCTACTTTTAGAAGCTGGTAAGTGACTTTATTTGAAAGTGGGTGGTCTGAGAACCTTTGAGGCATTGGGGGAGTTGTGACAACTGCTGGGACTAGCTCTGATTCTCCTCCATAGAGTGAGAATCATCGTTCTACTCTAATCACTTCAGCCTAACATTGTATCACCCGGGAAGCAGTCAACACAATGGTTAAAACTGTGGGCTCTGATCTCACATTGCCTACCTCTGAATCATGGTTCCATCTATTAACTCTATACCTGGAGTGAGTTGCTTCTCTGTGCTCCAGTTTCTGCATCTGTAAAATGGCAATAACTTGTGTGTGATTTCAATATTAAGAAAAGAAGAGTTTGCTGCCTTTTTTTTTTTTGAGTTGAGGTCTCACTCTGTCACCCAGGCTGAAGAGCAGTGACACCATCATGGCAGCCTCAATCTCCTGGTCTCAGGCAATACTTCCACCTCAGCCTCCAGAGTAGCTGGGACTATGGGCACAGGCCACCACGTCCACCTAATTTTTTGATTTTTTTTTTATAGAGATGAGGTCTTGCTATGTTGCCCAGGCTAGTCTTGCACTCCTGGGCTCAAGCAATCCTCTCACTTCGACCTCCCAAAGTGCTGGGATTACAGGTGTGAACCACCATGCCCAGACTACTGCTTTTTAAATATTACTCTTTATATCCTGCAAACCCAATTTCTTATCTGTCTCTTATGCTGATTCCACTTAAGCCTAAGTCAGCCTTAGACCAAAGAGAACAGGATTTAAGAATCAAAATGCCATGGGCTCAGGCAATCCACTCACCTCGGCCTTCCCCCCCTCCAAAAAAAGAATCAAAATGGACTCCCACTCTATTTCCATAGCTCTAACACTGTTAAAGACTTTGGGGCCATCTCCTACTTCACGAATGGAAAGCATGATTTCTTGGAGACTTCATTATTTTGAACCAGCATTAGCCCTCCTATAACTTCGACTCATTTATCTGACCTTTTTTAGATCGAATCTACTCTCTCTTTCACATATTCCCTTGGACATTCCCATTTCTTATTTAGTTTTACTCCTAATTCTTTTCTTAACACCAATTTATTCCACATTGCAGATTTCTGGGGATCTTACCAAAAAAGAACTAAACTCTAATCCTGTATTAGTTCAGATAAGACTGAGGAAAAACACACATCCCCAGTTGGTAGTAAAATGAGTCACAATCGAGATCGTAATAACCTGTGTGGTGTGGTTGGGGACTTAAATATTAAGAACAAGAAGCGTTGCCTCTTTTTAGAAAAAAATTTATTTTAAATATGTGAGGTACAATTCAATGTTAGGCGTACAAATGTTCATTATGCAGGTACCCTTGTTGATGAGGTATGCCCCTCCTCTCCCCTGGCAGTTTCTTTTTTTAATTTGAGTTGGAGTTTCACTCTGTCACCAAGTCTGGAGTGCAGTGGCCGCTCCCAGCCACCACAGCCTCGACCTGCTGGGCGCTGGTGATCCTTCCGCCTCAGCCTTCCAAGTAGCTGGAACTACAGGCACGCACTACCATGCCCGGCTAATTTTTGATTTATTGTAGAGATGAGGTCTCACCAAGTTGCCCAGGCAGGTCTCGAACCCGCGGGCAGGCAATCCACTCACCTCAGGCTCCCAAAGGCGCGGGATTACAGGCTGAGCCACCGAGCCCGGCTGGCAGTTTCACACTACTGCCAACCCCTTTCTTATAGTATTATGATAGTTGTTCAAGGACCGCTTATGAGTGAAAACATGTGGAGTTGGCTTCTTTTAAAATATCATTATACTCTATATACTCAATTTCTCTCCTCTTCCCAGCCCTGATTCCACTTACAGGTGGGAGAGGCCAAGAGTCTTCATCCTTCTGGGAATAGGCACAACTCTAGCTGAGCCTCCAAGTAGTTGAAAACCTTCCTATAGACCTCGGTTGATAGCCCTTAATCGTGGGAGATCTCACATGTTTGACCTACAAATAGCTTGTTCTTCTCTAGTCCTTGCCATAGTGATTGGGAGCTCCTGGAACTTAAATGCATATAGAGTCAGCCTCTTGCTGAAGATGCAGATATTAATACCTGGGCCCCATCTCAAACTCTAATTCATTTTGTCTAAAGTGATTTGCTTAAGAATCTTTATTCTCTTGATATAAAATAGATGTACAAATAAATAAATACATGAATATTTTAAAAATAATCCTTAATTTCAATAAGCTCCCATAAGTGATACTGATGTAGGTATTTTCTGAATAATATTCTGAAAAATATTTTTTAAGAAGGGAGCAATAGAACTCTAATAATAAATTAATCAATATATAGTAGTTTCATCTAGTCCTGTAACTCCTTTATGACACTCTTTACCTGCATTGGATCTTGTAGAGCAGAATATGGAATAAGAATAAGCTTACCTACCAGTAAAACTAAGTCATGTAACTCTGATATTGGGGGCAGGTAGGAAGGTGACTTAGCTTAGTACCTAAAAGTGCAGCTTCAGTAGCCTAGGTTCAATTTCCTGTTCTACCACTTACTAGTTTATAAACTTGGGCAAGTGTCAACATTTCTAAGCTTCAATTTTTTAATCTTACCTGGTGATATAATAGCATCTATGTTATAAGGCTGCAGTGAGGATTAAATAGAATTATTCATGTAATGAATTTAGCCAAGCATTGAGCAGAAAATATATATGCACAATATATATTTGTCATTAATTATGATTATGTTCAGCAATACCTTCTGCTGTGACCAACACATCTGTCAGTACTGGATTCAGTATAACCTCCATTGCCTTCAGCATATCTACCCCCAATGGAACCAGCCCAACTTCCAGTGAGACCAGCATAGTCACCAGCACTATGTCCAGCAAGACTTCTGGTGGGGCCAGCACAACTACCAACTCTGCATCCAGCACGACCCCCAGTGGGGCCAGCACAGGCACCAACTCTTTGTCCAGCACGACCCCCAGTGGGGTCAGCACAGGCGTCAACTCTGCGTCCAGCATGACCCCCAGTGGGACCAGCACAGGCATCAACTCTGAGTCCAGCATGAACCCCAGTGGGGCCAGCACAGGCACCAACTCTTTGTCCAGCATGACCCCCACTGGAGCCAGCACAGGCATCAACTCTGCGTCCAGCATGGCCCTCAGTGGGGCCAGCACAGGCATCAATTCTGGGTTTAGCACAACCCCCGGTGGAGCCGGCACAGGCAGCAACTCTGTGTCCAGCACGACCCCCAGTGGGGCCAGCACAGGCACCAACTCTGAGTCTAGCATGACTCCCAGTGGGGCCAACACAGGCACCAACTCAGGGACTAGAATGACTTCCAGTGGGGCCAGCACAACTGCCAACACATGGTCCAGCATGACCCCCGGCGACTCTGACACAACTGCTCATACTGGAATGTCCACAACTTCCAACAAAATTAGCACAAGTGCTGCTATTCTAGTGAGTGAGACAAAGCCTAATGGGTCTCTGAAGCCATGGGAAATCTTTCTGATCACCTTGGTCTGCGTTGTAGTGGCCGTGGGGCTCTTTGCTGGGCTCTTCTTCTGTGTGGTGAGTACCTGATATGTAGAAAAATGTCTGGGAGAAGGAGAAGCAGGAATATAACAAGAGACATGAATAGAAGGGACTGGCCCCAAGTCAGAGGTGGGTAGGGAGGAAGGGAGATCAGAAGAGAGTTACAAAGAGAAATAGCAAATTGGAATGAGAGGAGTCAATAAATGTGCAGAGGAAACTATTGACCTGTGGGAAAAGGGGGCCACAAAAAGAACTGAAGGCTGAAGGGAGGAGTACTAGGTGAGGGATGTAGTTGGAAGGAGAAGATTCCAGAAGGACTCCAGGGTGAAGACTTGGGAGACGGGGATACAATTCTGAAACTACTGTCTCTTCTTTTTCTAGAGAAACAGCCTGTCCCTGAGAAATATCTTTGACACAACTGTCTACCGCACCCATGGCCCGAACCTTGGCCTCAGCCCGGGCCCTCGAGGAAATCATGGAGTCCCCCACAGGTCTAGTTGGAGCTCTAACTGGCTCTGGAGAAGACCAGTATCCTCAGTAGCCATGGAGATGAGTGGGAGATACAACGGTCCCTGAGCGACCCCTGAAGCCAGAGTGCCACATTCTTCAAGGAGGAAACAGACCTGGGGGATGGAAGATCTGTGTTTCCTTTTATTCATCTCAGAAGAACCCTCCCAGCTTTGTCTGGGTTCCTGAGAGCCTTAGGGAAGACATTTCTCCCTTCTCTTGCCTTTACCAGACACTGGAAAGGAGATAATATATTGATCATTTGGCTAAAAAAATAAACACATAAAACATGTATGACAGAATCTGCGTGTGACATGGGTGGGTGTCTATAACTCTGAGTTGAATGTCCCAGTTATAGGAGAAAATCCCCATGCTGGAATCTATCTGGTATTCAAAATCCCCATGTAAAATCCAGAGACCTCTTTCATATCTGTGTATCCCCATTTTCTAATCCTTCTTGTCCCAAGCAGGACTCCCATATCCCTGAGACTCACCCAGGCTGACAGAAGAATTGAATTGGGAGAGACATTATTGGCTTATCAGTTAGGCCTGTGATACACAGACATTAGGTTATGGTACATGGAGAACCAAGAGCAGGATAAGGTGGAGGAGGTATGGTTTCCTGCTCTGCTGGGCAGGGTGTGTTCACTCAAAGTTGTGGTTCCCAGGAGATTTACATGTGCTCCAGACTTGACTACTTGTCAGGGTGAAGATGTTAGTTAACACTTGTCTCTCAGAGTGCTCCCTTGGGAAGCAGAGAGGCAGTGCTTCCTGGTTTCCCAAGGAAGGACTTTCTGGCCTGCTTATGTCTAACCTTTCAAAAGGCTCTTGGCAAAGACATGAGATTTTCATGAATCCCCTCCCAGAAGGGCTGTACATATCCTTTTCATGGGTCCAGGGGAGAAGGGTCCTTTAGGTCTTGGAAGACACAGGGAGCTGCTTTGGACATTGAATTTGTCCAATCTACAAGTTGATTACCTAGGACAGAGCTCTCAGCAGAGAGTTAGCAGTCTGTTGGAGATTCCCTCCAGCTCCTGGCATTGGAAACTGCTCTGCCTTCCACCACTTACTGGGTTTCTCACGTGTCAGCAAACCAAAGATTGGATCTTACCAATGGAGCTGTAATAAAACAGCTTGTTGCAAGGCAAGAATAATGCCATCTTAATGCAAAACCTCTTTGATGACTGATGTTTAACTCCTGCATACCAAAGTGCTCTGCAGCAAGGTCTTAAAACAATGCCTGTAGCATAAATAACCCCTCATAAAAGTGCTTACCACCTCCTCAGTGGTCATAGGTTTCAGCAAGAAAGCAGAAGACATGAGCATAAGATTTTTTTTTTTTTTTTTGAGTT